TCAGGATTTACAACGGGGTCTGCCTTCCACTTTGGGAGAGGGATGACTTTGTGCCTCTCCAAAACATATCGCCTAAGAGAGAAAGAGAGAGGGAAAATGCAGAAAGTCGTCTGTGTAAGAGCTCGAACAAACAAAAGGGCAAAAAGGGGGGATTCCGCATCTCAAGAGCAGCCGAAGGTTTTACGGGCCAAGGATTTTGGGAACGGGGGCAATGATGCAAAGGTGGAGTAAAACTGGGCCGCAGCCGCGACGCGCGCATGCTAAATGAGATGAGTGCGAGTTGATCACTTTCTGTGCAGTGACGTGACAATATGGAAGACATTTTGCTAGAACCACAATGCCAATGATATGGGACTTACTTTGGCCTGTTACAAGTGAATAGGGGTTTTGAAATGTATATAGAGCGAGAAAGTTGCAAAAAAAACTGGTCAACCAACATTCAGAAGAAAAAGCATCTAATGGCACATGCCACTCCACTTAGACAACGCAGTGACCTGGCAACCATCAAAAAGGGCAGCTTTGGTCTCTCGCGAATAGGCTTGCCACAAAGTGGACACCGCAGCTCTTAGTGAGACCAGTTTCTAGGGGACAAGGGCAACTGCATGAGGTTGGTGCACGGTAAACCTTTCGCAGAGGAGGTATAAGGGCAGAGCCTGTCATCAGGAACGACATGGCGAAGAAGTTGTCTCGCCTCCGGCAAGTAGGAACCAACAGTCGTCTCATGAGGCTCATACTCCGACGAAGAAGAAATTTACCATAACCATCGGAGCCCATGTCTCCTAATCGTGTACCAGACCATGTAAAAAACAAGTTCTGCGCAGTGCTGCACCAGTATCCAGGTGCATTTTAACGCAGGGGATGACATGACATGACAGTTCGACCTCCGCATGTGACTATGCCCACCGTAGGCATAGCAGACATACACAGCATCTATCTCTCTCTTCCCACCCACCGGGTCCCGGTGGCAAGATATTGTCAGAACGACCGGAGGCGGTCTTGGAAGAACCTAGTGCCCTTTGAAGGCGACCGGGGAGTATCTTGGAGTGACTGGAGGACCGACAGCCAGGCCAAATGGCTCCGTCTTAGTATAGTCCCTATGACATTCACACGCACGCGAGGTGCGAGTAGGCCCTGCTGTAATCTGCGAGGACCAGGCCATGCGCGGTACGCACAGACGGGCAGTTTAACCTCATCGGCCATTGCGCTCGAAACCACCTCCGGTCGTCCTGACACTGTCTTGCCACTGGGCCCAGGTAGGCGAGGGAGGACAAAGTGCGATAGATGTTGCGGAAGCCTGCCTCAGCATAAACTAATTCACGCGCAAGTCACCGTGGGGCACACGGTGGACGTCATTGCCCGCGATGGTCGAACTCTCGAATACCGCAGTTCCCTAGTTCCACGAAGAGCGAACGACCACACGCGACACCAGCACAACTTTCGTTGGAATCCTGTTCGTATCCTTTCTGGTTTTTTGTAAAACGTATAGGTGAGAAGTTGTGAGACCGCAGAGTGGATGAAATGCGCTACGGACATTAGGAGAACGCCAAAATAACACACATCTCCCCCATGTTCGTCAGACACCTCACCCGGTGCTCCACCCTCACTGGGGTCGGCGAAGACGCCCCTCTTGTGGCGCTTTAGCACAAAGGAAATGAACAGGAGCCGATACGATGAGCAGGGCATGCGTCTGTCCTCCTGAGTATATCCAACTTACAACTAATACGCATATGAAGACTCTTATGGCCCGTTTAAGGAATTACATAACTAATGTGCTTTTGGCCGCCAGATCCTTGATGAGGGATAAAACGTCAAGGAGTAGTGATAAGTACGTCAACCCGAGACTCTCGAATCAATATTTCGGAGTATTACCTGAGAGAACCTAACAGAACGCGGGTCCTTCGTATGCCGTAGCACGCTGGAAACTGACCTCAAAAGTGAATGCTCCTGACATATTCAAGGTCGCCGCTAGATTACAGATATTCGCGTCCCGTAGGCAAAGCGTACACCGACTTCTCTCACCAAATTGTAAATTCCGTTTTTTCTCCCTTTCAATATTTGCACAATACATAAGTAGTAGGAACCGGCTTAACTGACTGCATTTCATTGGCATGTGCGCTGAGATGTCGCCCATCCCGAAAACCGCACCGGGCTAGTAAAATTTATGGAAAACGTATGCACGCTTGCCAACTGATTTTCTGAGTTATAACTATTATTTTTTTAAAAAACATGGATGGCGGCTTTCGATGCGCATATTGCAGGGGGGAGGGATTTAGTAGCTAATGGAAACAGTTATCTTTCAAGTAATTTCTCGCGCTAATGTCGCGCTTGGAGAAAAACGTGAAAAAGGGGGTCCTACTTACACTTTTCCCTCTTCGGCATCCACATCGTCCACCTGAAATTCCTTTTTTTCCGCGCTGTAGGCAACGATCTCGGCCAAAATCCAGCTTTCAAGAGTGTCAGAGTCAGAACCACGCGCCTCC